AATGGTGACTTAATTTGATAATTAAGCAATCAGAAAGGGATTCTACTTAATTGGACACCAAAGGCCTCCCCAAGGGGAGCGGGAGCCCGATCTTAACTGCTTTTTTATGGCAAAAGAATTGGGGTCTTAAGGCAAAAGAATTGGGAGGGGCGATTGTTCCAGAGAATATAGACGGTCATTTAAAAAGACATGAAAATACTGTGAGATGGGAAAGTTTAAAAGCAGGAACTTGGAGCATGCTCTCCCTACGGGAGCCTGTGGAATGGATAGATGTTCTCGGGAGAAGACAGTCCCACAACTAACTCAGCATCTTGAATCACATTCAGGAGCCTAATAAGTGCAAGAGCAGCATATGGAATAGTGGTATTATATGGGCGAAATGAACTACACCCATAACTACCTGTGCTGCTGCAATTGAAACTCCCAGATGGTCTTCAAGAGCAGTCCATATGTTGCAGTAGTCCAATTGGGAGGGGACTAAAGTGTGAGTGAGCATTCCTGGAATGAATCCAACTGGTGCAAAAGACATAGCTGTGCAAAAGCCCTCTGGGCTACTGCTGCTACTTGCTCTTAGGGCAAGAGTTTGAGGCCTCCAGGTTGCACATCAAGTCTAAACGAGGTAGTGCCAACCCAGTTTAGAATGAAAGATGGAAACATTCACATCCAGAATCCAGAATCATTCTGCCATGGAAGGATTCAGGCACAACCTGTTTCCCCATCCAGATCCTCAACACTTTCCAGAGACTTTTGACAGTTTCACTTGGATAGATAAGGCCAGAGATATACAATTGAGTATCATGAATGTAATTTATCTAGAGCATAACACACTGAAACAGAGGAGTATAATGACAAAACTATGCAGAATTTTAAGGACCAATTCAGTAAGCTAAAAGAAAAGCAGGAACAGAATTGACAACCCATTGTAAATACTTCTCCTTTACTTGGTGCCAAGAAGTCATGTGGAAGCGATTTCCCATTTTAAGAAGCAGCTTTTTGCTAGTTTCCACAACATTTTAGCCCAAATCAAAATATCTCTTCTATCCCTTTTAGCAGATTTAACAGAAGCCAGCTGACAGAGCTGTATGTATGCCAAGTGATTTATTTTCCTGCTTAGTCTAGAACTAACTGCCTGATGGGGAACAAATCATATGCTCATTTTTTTCTACCCTATACATAACATGTATACAAAATTGCAAACTATGTTTATTATAAACAATTTATGCATATTTATATTGCACAACTCTAGGAGGAGTAAGATAGCCCTGTTTGGAAATCCTGTAGAAACCAACTATTATCTGATAAAAATTATCAAACTTCAAGGCTTCATAAAATAATAAAGGGGAAACCTTGCACTCCCTTCTGCTGGTGTGAGATATCACAGCATTGATGATGTTGCAAAGAACTCACATCAAAAATGGAAGAAGTTTATATTTACTCGTTGGCTCAGGTTCAAGTTGGCTCATTTGCCTTCCTCAAACCAGTTTAGCTGGTTGAGTCAACTTTACTGTTTCAAACAACTATAGATGAAAGCTGTTTCACAGAAAGGCAGAATTATATGCAAGCAGGATGTGGCAGTATGTGGCAGTATGATAAGACAGCCAAAAACAAAACGCTACTACTGCACTTACAAAAATATTGTTTCTTTTCAAACACACATATTATACAACATTGATCTGCAATGTTCCTAGACCTCTGAATTGTCCAATTCTTATAGCCAGAGAAATAAAGATAAAAACAAAAATTACCTACTTAGGAAGAATTTAAAGCTAGCAAAGCATTCCAGACACCTTACAGTGGTAGTTAGTTACATGATCAAGATGAGATTAGAGGACCAGTCTATGCTATCCATGAAGGCTGCTTCTTAGTTTCCCTACACTTTTCTCAGTGGCATATTTATTTCTGATTTTGTCAATTCATTGTTTCTTAATTCCTTTAAGAGTGCAAAAAAAAAAGTGCAGTTTTCTCCTATTTAATTACTGAAAGGGAGTAATCTAATCAAATCTCACAATCTAAATAATATAATTAAGGAGAAAATATTGGGATATTTCAAATTTTTGAAATATTGGAAAATATTCCACTGCTGATGCTCAAGTTCCTCTACACCCAAAGTAGTAAAAGAGGAAGTTATCAAAAAGATGCTCAAGAATATGATCTTATATGTGAAAACCGTTGAAAGTTTCTGTATGCGTACATTTTAACAAGAGCCCAAACTCTGCTAGAAAGACATTGGTTTGAAGAAGATAAAAGAAAAGCACAGTATATTTGTTTAGCACCCCTTACATAGGGCTTATGAGAGGAGAAAGAGAAATAAGGGGACAAATATTCCTCTTAATTCCTTATGATTCAAATATTAGAGCTTCCCGCTTAAGTTTTATGGGTGAGGGGTTACAACAGAGGCTAGTTGCATCTTTAAAAATGGAATAACATTCCTAAGAAAGTTGACAATTCGTGTCTTCTGCTCCAGCCTTATGTCGTGGAAGTTCTCCGGACGACTTTCTGGGCTGATGATAGGGAAAAGTTTTCCCACCATTGCTCTACAGCCGACCGAACACATTCGTTCGGTTTAAGCATGGTTGATTAATTCGGGTTTTTATTTCAACTTTAACCTGAACTCTCCCGCAAAAAGCATTGGCCTAGTAAGCATTGCATACAGATGCAAACCGATCAGCCTACACACCAATGAAGACGCGGGCGGCTTTTCACTTTCTCGGGGAAAGCGGCACGCTCTGCACCTGTCTAAAGCGCTGCCTCGACTGACTCCCTAACCACCAACGCGGCCCGCAAGGCAGAGGTGACCAGGGCATCGGATTCCCGGAGGCGGGTTTGGAACCTGAGAACCGCTCAAATTAGTTGCTCCATCACTTTTGATTTAAAAGACCGGGCGCGTCACGTCTCCCGAGTGGCAAAAGAAGGGCAGGACTGCGGGATGCTGCCGATGAAGCGAGGCAGCCCCACGGCTGGAAAGACCCGGCTCTTGCTCTCGATGCCAGGCAAGAGGGATTCCCCTGCTCCAGACCACCTCCAGGGTTCTCCCACTTCCCTCTTCTCCGATGCCTTCTCCATCCACAGGGGCGACCGGCTGAAGCAACTATTCGTTTCAAGAGCAGCGAGGCTGGACCCTTCACCGCACTTCCGAGAAACGAAGGGCGACAAAAACTAGGAGCCAAGCCGGCTTCGCTAAGTCAACCTCGCCTCCTCCCCGGGGAACAAACGGATCGGTCGGCATCGATGCCAGGACGGAGCCTCCTTTGCTCACCTGCCCGGTAGCTTCGCGCTCCGTTTCCAGAACTGCTTGTTGCTTTCCGCAGCCATGCCTCGGGCAGAGGCCGAGACCCTCGCTGGCCCGGTAGCGAGAGGGGACAACCCGGAGCGATGGGGCCCGAATCCTCCGGCCGAGACCGTTTCACCTCCTCCTTCCCGGGGTCCCCTTGCCAGTCCCCAGAGCCGCCATCTTGGATTCGGGCGGGTAGAATGCACCCATTGGCTGTTGGACGGATAATCCCCAAAGCTTGACCAATCCTGAGTCCCATCTGTAGAGCCACGTGAAGCACGAAGGGAAAAAGAGAAACCCAAACCGGAGGAATCAGAAACCTGCCAGAGAATGAGAGGCGGGACAAGAGATCACAAACGATAAGGGGGCGGGGGGGGGGCTCATGGAGAGAGACTGGGGGCGAGTCACATGCGCTCTAGCGAAGGGGAAGCGGGAAAGGCGGTTTAACTGTCAAAACCAGGCGCGGGAAGGGAAGAGTTGTGTATAAAACAGGTCCACCGAAAGTCGCTCCAAGAAGATACCGGTTTGAGTATTCAGGAAGTGCTTGAGGTTTTTTTAAAAGAAAAAACGAAAAAGCGCCGGTTATTTGGCCATATAGTCGCATTTCAACGTACATAAAGTTTGAAATGGACCTTCTTCCCCTGGCGCTTTGAAACCTAAAGATAAACAGTTCAGCAAGTTAAATAAAAATATAAATACAAAATCAGGTAGAAACTTTCCAGTAATTCACGTTTTAATATATGGATGGATAGATATTTTTTCCCTATTCAATTATATTCAATTTCTGGAGACGCCCTGCAGTTTTCTTGGCAAGATATTTTTTCAGAAGTGGTTTGTCATTGCCTCCTTCCTGAGGGAAAGTGACTGGTTCAAGATCACCTAATTGGTTTCGTGCATAAAGCAGAGTTAGAATTGAGGGCTCCCAAGTTTGATGCCTTAACCACTATGGGTAATCTTCGACTACATATCTGATTGAGCATGCAAGTTTGCTTGTAAATCATGACTATTATGTGGGTTGCCAGTGACCATGCCTGAATTAACCACTATTTTTGTGGTGGTCATTAAAGCAAACCCGCTTAATGGGGCATTGTTTTGCAGGAAACCAGAAGTAAACACCGTTTTCCGGCTGAGATATCATAAATTGTAGTTACAGTATGTGACTGGGGTGTTGCAAAAGGCCATGAATGCAGGCCAGTTGTGTCTGCTGAGATTGGTGGCCATTGGAACTTTGAATCTGGGTTATAAATAGTTTTTTCATAATTTTGAATGGTTGCCAAGCAACTGATCTTAAGGAGTACCTGTATACCAAACTGGCACTGGTCCCTTGTAAAAAGGAAACTTCCTGTTCTTGTAACTAGAGTAATCATAGTCCTCAACTTAAAACCACAATTGACCCCAAAATTTCCATTGCTAAGCAAAACAGTTGTTAACTGAGTTTGCCCCATTTTATGACTTCTTACCATAATTATTAAGTGAATTACTGCAGTTGTTAAGTTAGTAACACAGTTGTTAAGTGAATCTGGCTTTCCCCATTGTATTTGCATGTCAGAAGGCTGCAAAGGGTGATTACATGATCCCAGAACACTGCAACCGATGTAAGTACATGCCAGTTGCCAAGCAAGTCACTTTTTTCAGTGCCATTATAACTTCAGTCACTAAATGAATAGTTGTTAGTTGAGGACTATATGTATATAGACATATGCTTTTTTTAACATATGAATACAGCAGAGGTTTCCCATTGCCTTTTTCTGGGTTTTTTTTAAACTTAGTATGATCTATTAACTCTAAAATTTCTGGTAGTCTCCCATTCAAATATTAACAAGGCCTGAATCTGCTTATTTTTTTTTTTCAAAATCAGTCATCGAAAATGGAAGCCAGCATTTATCAGAGTATCCATATTTGCATCAAGAGTTAGCCAGAGTCTGCTTGATGTCCCGTGACCAGCAGTTTGCAAGAATGGATTAGTGGCTGAAAATTGTTTCACTGAAATGGTAACACAAATAATATAGCAGTAACCTGCTGATGATTACAACACCTTTCTGAAGATTGAAATTATTTCCAATTAGTTTCTTAACGTCAGTTATTACCCCCCTTAAGAACCATATGTGAAGTGTCTTGTGTTTGCCTTGTTGTATGACATATCGTATAAAGGTAGTCCTTGACATACAACCACATTTGAGCCCAAAAGACAGTTGTTAAGTGAGTTTTGCTCCCTTTTATGGCCTTTCTTGCTACAGTTTTAAATGAATCACTGCAGTTGTTAAAGTTAATCATTTGGTCGTTAGCAAATCTGGCTTCCCTGATTAACTTTGTCTATGGAAATTCTCAATCATCCAGGTCATGGTTGTCTCAAAGGTGCTTTTCCAAAAGGCAAGTGGACTTTTTGTTTTTTTCTTTGAAGCCGTTCCACACTTTCTGAAGAGAAAGTTTCTTGGATGCGAAGCAAAATATTGTCAAAGAAAAAAAACAAGAAAGTCCACTTGCCTTTTGGAAAATTAATTTTGGAACATCTATTGACTTTCCTTGTTGGAAATCAGCTGGGAAAATTACAGACAGTGCAAGTATTATAAATACATGCTAGTTGCCAAGTGCCTGAGTTTTGATCATCTGACAATGGGGATGCTGCAAGTAAGAACAGATGAGTATAAGTCACTTTTTTCAGTGCCATTGTACCTTTGAATGGTCACTAAATGAATGATTATAAGTCAAGGGCCACCTGAATAGGGGAAAAATTTTGCTTAAATGTAATCAGACTTCTGAATGTACACTGTTAATTTTGCCGTAGTTGCATATTTCCCAAGTTTGGTTTCCCATTCTTGGAGATTACTTGATCTAAGTCCCTTAGGATTTTAAGATTTATCCTCAAGAATATAATACTTGACCAGCAGCCCAATGCTGAAATTTGTGATAATGATACTAAGTATATAAAATAATTCATGTGATAAATAAATCCTGGTTTATCCCTTTAAGTTTCTAAAAAAGTGTGTGGTTGACCAAGGCCATAATAGATAGTGAAGGTTGGTATCTGGTAAATCCATAAATCTAAGTCCAGGCCTCATAAATTACGGCTACTCTTAGATATTCAATACACTGAGTGACTGAGGGTATGCATTTGTCTTCCAATGTTGTAGAGCTAGACTCTTATTAATATAAAGGATATGGAGGATATATTTTCATATCCACTATTCACTGCAATCTAGTAAGTACATACCAGTAGTTCAAAAGAATATAAAAGTCAAAAATATTAAATATTATCGCAAGGTCAGGTTAATATTCCATATAACTTTTTCCTAGGTCATGACAATCTTAGGATATCACAAAAAAGTTTTCAACGAAGTATTATTCCCACTTTATTTATAATCCAATGATTTACTCATTCCTTTCTATACAAATTTAAAAGGTAATAAATTTTAAATATTTCTTTTTGTTCAATAGTCTAAGATCTATTAGCATTTTTATACAGTTGTGATACATTTTCCTGTTGTTTACTGAAAATGGGGATCTCTAATTCCTTGTTCAACCCAGTCTTTAAAGTTTGCATATCAAATTGATATTATTGATCACAAATATTTATAAAAAGTAGAGAAGGAGAGAAAACATCAAGAGAATGATAAGATGAAACATCAAAATCTAGGCAAGATGGACAGCATATAAATTTAATAAATACATTTTCCAGAAATAATATTTTAAATTCATATAATGGTGATAGGAGATACATTTAATCTTTTATAATTTCAACCCTAAACAGAGCCCAGGAAGGAGAGAATATATATATATATAAAAGCAAAATATCACTCATCATCACAAAATCTCCAGAACCGTAAAGGCTACATACTTGAAATTTGGCACGTATGTTCCACTTGGCTTCACTAAGGAAAGATTTTTTGAAATGACCATCACAGCATTAGTATTTCGTATATTATTATTAACATGTTCTGATGCTAAGGAATTCTACTCCCCCTCCCCACCTGAAAAGAAATCTGTTCCAAATGCAAAACATAAACAGAGGAGAGGAATTTCAGTTTTAGTTTCACAGCACCAAGTAGCTTTAGTACAGAACAGTTGAGCTAAGTCATACCCAGGCTCCTTGTTGTCTCCTTGCTCACCCAGCAAATACTGTTTCAGTTTCCAAACAGCTCTCAACTCTCTTACACACTGACAGGACACTAACCAAATGAATACCGATGGATGCTGGTAGGCAGAATTTTTTTCTCCTTATTTTCCTCCCCAAAAACTAAGCTAGTATATGATAAGTGAAACCATCTAAAATTTGGAATAAATCAAAGGTTATGCATGATGGTATAGTATACAGCTAGTCCTCAACTTATGACTGCTTGTTCAGTGACCATTAAAAGTCACAGCGGTGCTCAACAATGGGGATTTATGATCAATCTACGGTATGTAGTTGTGGCCATTGCAGCATCACCAGGGTCATGTATTGGTGATCTGAATGCTTGAGTGCCTGCTTGCAATTATGGCAACTCAGTGAGCTTTGGTCACATGGCTGCCATTTCTGACCCTGTCAGTTTCCCAAAAGCAAAGTTGCCCTCATCATTTGTCTCCCAAAGAGGTCATTAAGGAGCATGAGATTCCAGAGATCTTGTACTCTTTAGCACATGCCCATAGCCTTGCCAGCTTGCTTGTGCATATGAAAAACAACAACTGAGTTTTATCTTCAATCTAGGGGCCATATCCCAAATCAGGAGTTATTTTAGAAATCCTTTGGAAAATCAAAATTTATCTAGCATAATATTGTGTCAGAATTTTATCAAAAGGTTTTTCCATATTAAGTGATAGAACTACAGTTTTGTATTATCTGTCTTTGTTCCAATCAATCAGATCCACTTCGAGCTGCGTATTATACTGTCTTCTTTCAAAAAGTGGTTTTTGGTTGCTTGGTTTAAAGTTTTGATTGGGGAGAACACTGAGGCTATTCAAATAATTTAGAACCTTACTGTTAGAGGGGATATAATCTGCTCAGAGTCTTTTGCAGTTTAGAGCAGTGTATGAACCCAAATAAATAAAATGCTTCTTAATTTGTTGTGCAAATAAGCTGTAAATATACAGATAGTCCTCGCTTAGCAACTACAGTGACTGTTCAAAGTTAACAATGGTGGAGACTTAAAACCAATTTTTGGAATTGTGACCATCATAATATCCCTGCAGTCAGACAATTGTAATTTGGCAACTGGCATGCAATTATGAGGTTGCAGCATCCTGTGGGTCACATGATTGCTATTTGTGACCTTCATTGCTGGCTTCAGGTAAGCTGGTGCAAGGTGCGATGGCACAGGCAGTCTTTAGGGCCCCTATTGTGGCTCATATCACACCACTATTCTGCAAGCTGCACTTGTTGCCGGTTTGCTTTGGATGCAATTCAAAGTATTGATAATCACTTATAAAGCCCTTCGTGGCATGGGTCCAGGTTACTTGAGGAACTGTCTCACTCCAGTGGACTGGCCCACCCCTTCTGTGCTGGTAGAGGGAGCATACTGTGGATCCTGTCAATCAAGGAATTTTGACTGGTGGGGTCCAGAAGAAGAGCCTTCTTGGCCATGGCTCCTACCCTTTGGAACATCTTACCCCCTGAGGTGAGATTGGTTCCCAGCCTCCTGACTTTCCATAAGAGCCTTCACACCTGGTTCTGCCAAATGGCTTGGGGTCCCAATGAGGGAGTTTCATATTGCAGGTGGTTGACTAATTAAAAGCTAATCCCCACCTCCCCACTTCTTGTGTATCCAGCTCCCTTTTCTCTATATTGTGTTAATGATTTTGCTTTGTATACTCTGCTCAGTCATTTTACATCCAATGATTAATGCTTTTTTAATGTTTATTATACCGTAAGCAGCCCAGAGTAAATTTAAAATAATAGGAAGGAAGTTGCAAGTTTTGGTCACATAATGTCACACTCAATGAATAGGTGCCAGAACTGATCATGTGATTTTTTTTTTACTTATAACTTTTCTCTTTCTTTACAGAAAGAATATAAGGATGGTGTTCTGGTTCTATAATCCAGCAGTTAAGTAATCCAAAAAAGGAAATGCTTAGGACCTGATAAATAATGATTTTCTGATAACAGAATCAGATCATGGTGAGAAAGAAATCAATTTTAATTTTGCAAGAAATTAATGAAAGCAGATATACATAAATTAGTAAAAACTGTAGAATGCAAAGAGACCAATGGACATCTGAATAAGAATAATCTTAGAATGAGAACCACAGTAAGAAATATTAGTGATTTTGATCCCATTTACACTTTTTAAAGCCAGTTTGTTAGATGCAAAGCACAGTCTGAAAATATATATATTCCACAATTCATTTTAAAGATATGAGTTGTAATGATTTCTTCCTTCTTAAAAGTCAAAAGAATGATTGAGAGTCACAGTAAAGCTTTTATGAGATTTTGATGCAGTTTGTAATTCGAGTGCCTATCCATTGGTTGCAAAAACAAATACAACAAAGTATAGACTGAAATTTTAATTTTTGGGGTGTCATGCATCCATTTGAAATTTTTTTAAAAAATGTTATATCTCCCTTAAGGCAGATTTTTATAAAGTTCTGGGAAGATCACTTAGGATAGTGACAAGCTATTTAGAGTATCAGATATTTTGGAACTATATCTCCTATAATCTATGACTGTCAAACATGGGGATTATTGGATTTTTATAAATTGAAGATTTTCAAATGACCTATGTTTGATATGATAAAGTGTCCCAGAGATTAGCTTGCGATCCTATAAACCACCATACCTAGATGGTATAGACTGTGCCTTTGGTTTTCCCCCTCCTCCCCTGGTAATTTCTGAATTTGAGGAAATGTGTTTGTATTTCAGGAAATGTAATGTGCTCTGCTCAAATAAAAATGTCTAAAATATATTTTTTATTTGTCCTGTAAGGTTACAGTAATTCAATATTATGTACAGTATATTGAACAAGGCATATCAGAAGTAATATGCTTTGTGTAATTGGTTTTTTTTTGTCCTCACGCACTTATGAAATTTGCTGATTGTGGGCAAATGGGTTAAATGTATGTGCTATGCTTGTAGGTGTGCATTTTATAAGAAGAAATTGTATATTTTAGAAGCTTCTGCCTCTAGACAATCCCACAAGATTTTGCTTCAGGCATCTCAACTGGACTTATTCAGGCCAATCCCAGCAAATCCACCCAGACTCTGAGTAGAACTAAGGGCTATGTGCAGATAGCAACTAGTAGGAACAAGTAGGAACTATGTGCAGATAGCAATTCTTTACAGCATATTCTTCACAGCATCCCTGCAGATGTTCTTGAAACCCATACTTCCCCAGCAGAGACCAAGTCTCCTTAAACAGGATTGTTGGACAGCTATCAACAGATGTAAAACATGGAGAAATAGCAATTGTACACTGCCCTTATTAGCACAATGTAACCCATAATATGGGTTTTTACTTTTGCTTGGGCAGATTCACTCTTCATCTTTCTACCGTGACTCTCCAGACATCTCTTCTTTTGCTTTATCTCTTAGAGCTCTTCAAATAAAGTTCACATTGGGATCAACACAGGGGGAGACACCACACAAGGTCAATCAGGTTGAAACCTGTTCCATTTGCCCATACCAGGTTGCTTCAGCTCAATTTCCCACCAGATTCTTGGGGAAAATCCCAGCCTCCCTTTGGAATCCAGCTGGATTCATCAGCTGGAATGGGCTGATCTAACAGGCCTACCAACAACTGCATCATGCAGGAAAGCAGGACCAAAAGGGGGTAGCGTCAGAGAATCTCTAAGGACAACTAGTGGAGATTTCTTCCTATTTCATATCTGGCATGGGCACAATCTCTGACGCAACTATAATGGCAATGATAGTATCAGCCCTTCTGCTACACAAGCCTTCTCCAACATGATGCCTTTCTAGTTTTATTGAAAATGTAACTTCAGTATTCCCAAACATTACTGGCTGGAAATTCTGGACATTAAAGTCTCAAATCTAAAGGCATATGATTGAGAAAAATTGTTTAAATTGTGAAAACACACTCTGGTAGAATTTCCCTGAAGATGATCTCCAACACAAGTTCGAAACCTCAGAAGATGAACCCTCTGAGCCTGGTATCTGACCCAGATTGGATCCTACAACATTGTCCTGGGACACGTACATTCACCTTCATTTGTGTCAAAAAATGATACAAGTAAAGATTACAATTTTAAATTCTAGCATATTCATATATTGTGCTGAGCCATAACATGATTAGTTTGTTTTGATAAAAGGTTGTGAAACCCATGGTGTTTTTAAATCATCATTGTTAGGTTTAATATATGGCAACCAATTGTAGCTTATTGATCATAATGAAAACCTACCTTTGTGTGATAAAACACTTCATTAAATAATTCCCTAGTAGCAGTCTCCAAATAGATTGGATCATATTGGCTATCATACAGGGTAGAAATTGTACTGTTGAAAGTCATCAATTTGGGAAAACATTGAACAGTAGAATGTATATAAAATAAATACGCAACTCACATTTTATCTTTTATTCTAACATATTTAATTTTTCTCCCAGATTTATGTAGCTCTGGTCATTTTTTCCATATTACGTGGAAGTGATCCTATTTTCTTTGTTTTTCAGGCAATTATTACTCCAGACACAATCATTCCCCTGTTTGGTGATGGCATCTGTGGCATAACACCGAGAGCAGGATCAATTGTTGCTGGTGTGTACATGATCTTAATGACCAATATGTATCTTATCTTTGAGTTTCAACACCTAAGCCTTACATTAATTAAACTGGCAAAGATTAAAATGAAAGGCTTAACCTGGATTATTCCATATTGCTATTATACAGCGATAGTTTTGGCTTTTATAACTTATCCTGTATGTTTCTATTATTTATATTGTATCTATAAGAGAAAAGCTATAGGTCTTTATGTATACTTTGCTTGGATAATATTTTATGATGCAGCCAACGTAGTCATTGTAATCTTGACTAGCCGCGCTGGACACCTACATGCATTTTCCATCAGTCCTTTAGAATGGTTTGGATTGGCCAGTAGGATTCCCGTGGATTGTTTTTGGCTTTGTTTTATTATAACGTATATTATGTTGCTTTTTGAAGGAAAACGTGTAGGGAGGATGTCAATGAGACAAAGGAGAACATCTAGATATATTACTGAACCTCCTAAGTTTAGACTTGGTGTAAGTGCCAAGAGACTTCAGTGATAGCTATCAAAATATTTCTTATGCAATTATGAACATCAGGCCTGCACAATACTTGGCATAACAAAAAATGGGCAATTAATATATTCATATATGTTAGCTATCCAATACCTTTGCCTATTCAGAACAATGAAATTAGGGTGATTGTCAGAAACATGGGAGGCCATAATATATACTAAGTTCAGAACCAATATATGTATATACCAAGTAATGCTTCACATTGTTTTACTTCATTGTCTTATTGGGTTAATCTAAGTGTCTTTAATAAAGATAAATTTCATAATTACTGTACTTGGGTCTCTGGATTTGTTTGGGCAAAACATACTCCCCTCAAAATGATTAGTTTTTCTATAAAAATACTTTTCTTATTTCTGAAATAATGATTTTTAGCAGACAAAGAAATGTGAATCCATGCAGAATTTTGAAAGTGCAATGTGGTTTTATGCTACAGTAGATAGATAGTACAGTATATGGAACAGGTTTTGCACTTCAGTAGATCCTTGAGAAAAGTATGAAGGTGACAAAAAGAATGGTTATTGTACATGTATTGATTTAGAAAAGCATATAAAATGAATAGTTTTCAAATATAAAATGTTTTATGTGAATATCGAATTGGAGCTTGATTGCCAAATGTGGTAAGGACAAATGTAGTAAAGGCAGTCAGAACTTATGAGGATAAATGGAATACTTAGCAAGTAAGAAAAGGATGTGTGGTGTTGTTTAATATTTTTATGGATAAGCGTACAGGGAATATTTGCAGTAAGCTTAGAAGTGTATGAGTCAAGAATGTGAAAATATTTGTGCTTTTTCTATCTATGATACTATGTTGCTGGCTGAGAACATGAATGGTAATCCAATTCACATTGGAGAACAAATACTTGTGTGGATCTGCATACTTTGCAGCAGATTTATTTCACACCAACCTTGAGTTTACCAGAAGCATTGAAGGCTAAAGTACCTGATAGCTCAGCCACACAGATCCAGGTCACAGCTGACTTAGAAGAACTGTCTTGAACTAATAAGTGAGTCTTACTTCTCCCTAGAGTGACCTATCTAGTGCCCTCCACTTCAAAAGGAAACTGATCCCCTTAAAAAGTTCCATTAAAATTTCCTGTGGTTGGAAAAAAAACTCACACCAGAGAACTAGTTTATGTTTTCTATAAGTGGGCAGCAGGTGGTGCAATTTGTCTGCAAGCAAGAACTAGTAGGACCATAAAATAGAGAAAGTCATAGAAAATAAAGAAGCTAAATTGTTCTGGGATTTTAGAATTCAGACAGGCACCTGCCACATAACACCCCAGACTTAACAATTATCGATAGGAAAGACGAAAAAGTCTGGATAGTGGATATGGCAGTACTTGGAGACAGGAGAAGAGAAGAGAAGGAACTGGAGAAGATAACAACATACAAAATCTTGAAAATAGAAATAAAATGAATGGAGAGAAGGAAAAAACACAAAGTTAGTAGTAATAATAATCGGTGCTTTGGGTGCAATCTCAGGACAACGGAAGCACCATTTGAACACCATCTGCATTGACAATCAGTTAACTGCAAAAGGCAGCTTTACTCAGAACAGCTTACATCCTGTAACATCTCAAGCACCATCAAATGTCAACATCTGCCTATTCCATATTCTTGGGAAGAACTTGATGGATGGATTGAAATGCCAAAATCCAATTTATACACCTGGCTGTGTGATGAACCATAATAATCCATTGTCTTTATATTAGGCGAAGATATAGGTAGTAAGTGGAAACAAAGCAGTAGTTTTTATTTATTTTCTGTGGAGGAGGATTGACTGTCGAGGCCTACATTTTGTTCTCACATACTTCCCAAGATTTCTTCAAAGATTTTCTTTACAAAGGACTCGCTGTGCGGGTACACATTCTCACATTGCTCAAGTAGCAGGGGTGTGACTAGATTTGAACCAATCATTATTCAAGCTCTGATGGCATCTACCCAGACAAAAAGTGAAGCACAGCCCAGGAGGGTAATTCTTATAGAGATTTGTTTGCTTTTAAAAACATTACTAAAAAGTCTGGAACTTGGATATGTTTATGCAGAAAGTTCTTAAAATTAATTGCCCTTAATACCCTACTATATTTATATTGTATACAATACTAAAGGTACTTCATTGAATGAGCTATATTTTAACTGAGAAAAACTGGGAATAGGTTTGGGAATTGTGCCTTCATTTCCTTTCTGCAGAGAGAAAGTCCCAGGTGAACTAGGACAGCAGTCCCCAACCTGTGTGGCTTGGTGGCCTGTGTAGGGAGGGGATCTGGGCAGTGTCAGCATCTGGCAGGCATGCATGCACACATGCAGCTCAATTTGGTGAGAGGTGGGCCAGCACTTGAATCATATGCAAGCACAGCTTGCCCCTCCAGTTGTCTTTTGAAAAGCATATTTGGAACCTGTTCCTACATGTACTGGTCCTGGGGAACTGGAAGTCTGCCTCATTGGGGATTTGGTTGCATACCAATCTCAATTCCAGGGTAAAGAGGATTCGTGTTAATAATCTGTAAGAATCTGATGATGACCGACTTCATAGAGGACATCATTCATTCACAAGTAGCTGGGTATGAGGTCCTCTTCCTAGTGTACCATATACCTTGCTACCCAGCTGGTTTTTTCCCCTGAGATCCTCGACCTTAAATCAATTACCCCAACTATGTGCCGGGGTTACCCATGTCTTGGGGCAGGGGTATCAAACTCAATTTCATTGAGGGCTGCATCAAGGTTGTGTTTGACCTGGGGGGGGGGCAGGGTGTGTGTGGTCAGGGTAGGCGTGACCAGCTCGACTTCACTTGTGTCGGGCACTGTGGTTGCCAAGCGCTAAGGCTTCCCTCATACCCTCCCTCGCTCTCATCATTAATGCAGAACATTAATAGCAACCTTTTTGCATGGCTAGATCACTATCTTGGCAGACTAGACTAATGCCTTTTATTGACCTCTTTGAGGGAGACAGACTTAAGTTGGCCCACCCCAGACAATTTGGTTTACAGTGAGTGCCTGGTAATTTCTCCATAATGAAGCAGGAAATCTGTAGCCAGTCTGGTTGAATTGTGGAACAGAGATAGTGAAGATGCTTGACAAGGTTGATATTCTTGATTCTTTGAGCCTAAGTAAGTTGATAGAGTATTCTGGAATCTGCTCAATCATCAGTAAATTAGACACTTGTCTTTCTTAAATAATACTGGCAACTGGAAAGGGTATGATAGCACAGGGTGGACACAGAAGAATCAAATACACTACATGACACCTGTTAAAGATGCTACATACCTACTTTCCTCTATCTTATCAAGGAAAATTTCTTATATTTTGCTGTCAGCCTATCAGAGCAGAAGATAAAAATGGTATCAAGAAAATTCAAGAATGGTAAGAGATGAAGTTGATTTTAAAAAATAGTATAGCAATAGAAATACAACAAATGTAAAAGATGTTTTAAAGTTTTGCTCAATATCAAAAGATAACAGAATAGGTGCCTAGCAAACTACTTTTTAAAGAGCATTTCAAGCAATACAGCCATGTACAATATTTATTGTACACTTTCTATAACCAGCCTTATCACACAGATCCATGGGAGCTAGTATTCGTCTGTTCAGCTGATGTAAACCTATGCACATTATATATAACATGCAGTCCAAATACTATAGCTGGTTTGCCAAAATGAACTCGAAGTCTGAAGGACACATGTTGTTTATTCATACAAAAACTCCACAGATGGCCATAATCTTAAAAATAAAAAGAATTGAGACATAGAAGGAAATTGCCATAAATGAATTTGCTTTTCATCCATATTGTGCTAAAGCAAATAAGCCACTATATGGTGTATACAGTTTTGTTTTGCTTTTCAGGATAGATCCAAAATTCAATTATTATGATTTACCAATGTAACATATACCCACAAGCTATAATCATAACTAAAATAAACCTGTCTGGATGTAATTTAGAGACAGAAAATGGCAGGGAACATTGCATTCTTCTGTCATTTGATTCAATGCTCTTACTAGAGTCAATTTAGAAATTTGTTGGAATGTAAATGCTGCCAATGATTTTTGTGAATTTGCATGAATGAAAATGGGGAACAAAATGATAGCAGGAAGAACAAGTGAAGTATTATAGAAATTCTGAACCACAACCAACATCTATAATTAGGAGAATTCCTGGGGTGTTTTATGATAAATAGCAAGAGAGTAGCTTCAAATAATGAAGAATTCCCAAAAATAAATATCAAAGACTTTGTTAAATATATTCTTACTAGATAGTAATTTAGGCAAGTTTCACAACCAACTTTAACCTCATTATTTAATGGGACCCAGTCCTAATAATGCATAGGACTTTTATTTGAATTATTGTAAGATAATTCATTTATTGCAAACAATCCATTTATAATAAACAAGGATGTATATTAATTTGTAATTTGGCTTTGGATACATTTTCCCTGATAATTATTTTTACTATTGGAAACCATTGTCTTTTCAGACAACGAGCAGCAGATAAACTGCAGCAATTAACTTGTCAGTAGCAGTACACTGGGCTGTCCAAGGCCTTTCTTTGATGCTATTATTCCTGCTGCCACTCAGGAGATATTGACCATTCAAAGTTAATATTCTGTACAAAGAGAAGAAAAATCTGTAAGATCCTATGATAATCTCAAATTTAAAGAAATACTGCAGAACTATAGAGTAGATACCGTATCAGGTTAGATTTCATGTATAGAGTGAGATATTGCAGTAGAAACTAAATATTGGTAGCCAAGGCAATTTATATCTGAAATGTCATCGTGGGCAAACATCATGGGTTTGCTGAGTAAACGGTCAGAGGAGGGACGATAGTAATTTACTATACAGTTAGAGCAACAGTTTTAAACAACTGAATGTGAGACATATGACCATTAACTATCCAGTAGACTGATTAAATCAAGTGATTCCATTTTTATTTAAAACAGAATGTATAAAAAAAATAGCATTTCTGAATTCTCTGTACAGTATTAGCTATTAAAAAAAACAGCAGACTACGCACCAAATTACTTAAACAAGGTTTGACAGTGTTGAAGTCCGGGACATCTTGCTCCCTTTCAAAGTACAGCACTATATACACACGCTATCTATACATATCCTCCCCATCAATACCAGTTAAAAACAAGTCTCAAACATGTGGAGAGGCTGAACAGCAACAGTTGGTTTATTTACAGGTGATGGGGAAGGGCAGTCAGCTGTTCCATACAGAAGCAAGATATCAAACAAAAAAAGGCAAAAGATAATCAAAGAGGGATTAGAATATGGAACTGAAGTAGTAGCAACATAGCAGAACAGGTCAACAGCTATAGCAGTGAGGTGTATGCCAAGAATTCGCATGATTCATAAATAAAATAAATAAAATCCTACCAGTTAGGATATTCCATTTTTAAAACCCTAGAAATAAATTAAAAAAACTGAAGTAAAAATATTATGACTACAATCTTCTGTACACCAATTTTTGTTCTTGTATTCTGTACAAATTTACAGTTTACAGTTGCATTGTTTGTGCACTAGATGATGCCTTCATGTTCAAAAGGCAGCAAAAGCAAACAAAGAGTTTATACTGGACAGCAATTAGGGTTGCTAATATTATCTCCTTCATTCTGAAGTAGTTCTTTTGAAACTGGAATAAATTTTAAGACGGATCTTAAATCTGTAAAGCAGCAGTGAAGGAATGTTCAAGTATTTCCCCCCAGCACAGCTCAGTTTGCAATTGAAGGCACTCAGAACATGGTAGTAGTAACACAGTGAAGGCAGGTAGCCGCTCCAAATCACTAACTCCCTCCCTTCTCTTGTACCAAACATCTCCTCTAGTTCTTTGCACCACTCATTTCATATTCTAGGATTCGGCTTGTCCAATTCATCTAGTGGTGAGAAGATTTATAAGTCAGGCTCCCAAACAGCAAGTCCACTCTCCCACAAGAGATGAGTTTCTTCAGACTTAAGAAAGTCATCAGGCAGCCTATGTCTGGAAAAAGATGAGTCACATTTCTATAAAGGTCTTCACTCCACCAGATCAAATACGGCAAAATTTTGTTTTGTTCCTCAGAAGGATGAGACATACTATTTGCTAGATTCTTGAATTAGACTATGCAAGTGGATCTCAGCTGTTTTCTGAGGCAGGAGAACATCTTGCATCCAAGAATGATTCAGAAGATCTTCAAAGGATGGCCTGTCAGAAGGCCTTAGAGCCAAACACCACTTAATGAGATGCTGACATTCTAAAAAAGAAAGTGCAAAATTAGCAAAGGTCCACTGATGAAGAACATCTACAAAATAGAACATTATAAATGCTACTGCAAAATCTCAATTGGTTATTTAATAAAATGAGACTTCTTTACAAAGCTGAAACTCTTGAAGCCAAAACAGCCATTCATCCATGCTTTGCCAAGGTTATATAAGATCAAAATTCTTAGATTGAGTTTTCAGGAATGCTAGCTTCTAAACCTTGGCTAAAAGCAATCATCAAAAATTTAAATCCTAAGATGTTGCTTTATGTGACAGCGGCACTTGCATATTATTAGTTACTGCTTATCCAATATACTAAACAAGTTATTTCTGATCAGCATTCCAGACAGAATTTCACTCACCCCAAATTAACACTTACCTGAAGAAATCCTTTGACGAAAATAGACCTGGCCTTTTATAATCTCTTCATCATGCTCAAAAGGAATGTCCCCACACACCATATCATAGAGTAATACCCCGAGTGACCAAACAGCAGCAGATCTGCCATGATATCTGTGATATCTGATCCATTCTGGAGGACTATAAACTCGAGTGCCTGAAAACAGATGATAGATCAGGAATTTTTTTTTAAAACTACAGGAGTCAGAAACAAGTACTATACTCTTAAACCTTATAGTTAGATGTATATAGATATAAATTTAGACAGTCTCCATGGATTAGTAATCAAGAGGCATAGGAATTTAAAAAGATCTAATTATTAACTATTAAAAGATTAGTATATGTTTCATCTTTAAAATGAACTTTTATACCATTTGTCTATATCTTAAAGAAACTTAGACTGCAGCTTGTAAGCGCAATGCCAGAAACTCTTGCCTAGATGTCTTTGTTGTAGTGCTTGATCTTTCTCCCCCCTCCTCCCTCTCTTGGCAGGAAGCAAGGATACTGAGGTCAGAGCTGCTTGCCTGGTTTCCATCCACGTGACTCTTGTTTACAAACTTTGAGTTGTAAAAAGATACTTCATAATCCACAAGGGGGCACTAGAAGCTTGGGAAAGCGCCTAAAAGAAGGCAGCAAACCCATCCTGGTTATTAACCGTTAAATTAAAAACAAAACAAAAAATTCAAGGCAGCGCGTGCCATTTGGGAACCCAGACCAAAAGACACAAACAAGCATCAAGCCAGGAGAAATTTTTCAAGTAAACGGCTCTGAAGTCTTCCATGACTCTGTTAGCAACGCAGTTTCTTTTCTGGGAACAGTTTGAATGCACATGCAGATCATATCTCTATTCTAACATTAATGTTTAAATCCCAGTCACTGCAAACTTGCTTTCAAAAACCATTTATTTGCATTTCTATTGCTAAAGTGAGATTATTTTAAAATGATCACCCCTAGATCAAATTTCACAGGATTCATGCCCTACAAAATGCAGCTTCCCTATTGAAATGATTAATTTAGTGAGTCTGTAAATACAGCTTTTAACAGTAACCTTTTCCTCAAGGCTTCATATTCAGACATCACAGGGAAGGACAAAACGCAAAAACCTCTCTTCAGTCTTACCACACAGAAATACTGCACTAGGTCTATACTTTTATTTTGGACTTGTAGACTACTATTAAAACAAAGACTTGCAAGAATATTTTACATGCATTTTAGCACACATCCATTATATCTAGCAGGTAAATTAGTAAGCATAACTTGAAAACGATCTGCAATAGATTTTTTTTCCTCCCAAGACATTTTCTTTTCACATTTTTAAGTAAGGCTATGAGCCCATCGGATTGAATAGAAAAACAGTATTAAAGGTTAGCCACAAATAAGCATTAGTTCTCTGGGCAAGAGCAATTTTATTTAGGGGATGGTTTATGAGAATCAAATATACTTCAGAGAAAAGACAAATCGTTAAAATCACAGGAAGAACCTGTTCTATTGCTGTGAAGTTACCTAAAACACAGCCTAGGGAACACTATGTTTCAGAAATGAAACTTCCTGGCTCGGTTTTGAATGAAAACTAAGAACACTCACCATCAAAGTCCGTGTACACTGTGTCCTTGAGCAGTGCCCCAGATCCAAAGTCTATAAGTTTGAGCTCTCCATTGCTCAAGTCAATCAAGATATTCTCATCTTTGATATCCCTGTGCAGGACACCACAACTGTGGCAATGTCGAACTGCTTCCAACACCTGACGGAAAAAGCTACGGGCCAAATCCTCAGGAAGAGCACCTCGTTCTGTGATGAAGTCAAATAGATCTTGAACGGGTTCTGGCCTTTCCAAAACCAAAATGAAACTGTCTGGCCTTTCAAACCAATCCAGCAGCCGGATCACCCCTTGAAATCCAGAGCCAACCTTTTTCAGGAGCAAAATCTCCATGGGTACCCTTGTTCCACCAGGCTGCGTAAAGAATGGGAAAAGGGGCGAGGAAAAAAATGATTTCTGAGCAGGAGAACAAGTTGAAGTTCAACATCCAATACAGACTGAAGATCTTTCTACAGTAACAAAACTCCAAACATTCCTCCCTTCCTCCCACAACTTACCAGTTCTCCCCATTCGGAAACCCGGTCCCGGGACACATGCTTGATGGCCACCTTCAAATACAGGGGAGAGAGAATAAAAATTCATACATATAGCAGCCAATGCTAAAGGAAAATACATGAGTTTACTGGGGAGGCGGGAAGGGTAAAAACAATAGGGAACGATGGAGGCTGCGAGAGGGCACACTCCACTCGAAACCCATCACTCACCGGAGCTCCATCTGCCAGCCTGGTGCCTGAGTAGACAGAACCGAAGCCTCCGCTGCCGAGCAGCGGGCCCACTTGGTAGAGCTTCTCCAGGGATTCCTTTTCCTTTCCTACAAATAGCAGGAAGGAAAGCTCATTGAAGACCATGCCCTGTCAGACATGTCTTTGCCCCCCCCACCTCCTCAAAACAAAGCAAAGCAAAAAACCCCAAAACAGCCCACCCCAATCCAGTCCCTGCCTCATTAAACCGGGGTGTTTCCAGGTCATCTATCCATCCATCCATCGATCATTCCCGACTGGTGTGGTTCCAGCCTCCCGCCTTCCCCTTCCTTTTCGCTCTCTTTTCAGCTGACCTGGCAGCGGCTTGACGGGGTGCAGATCCCCGCCGGGCGTCGAGCATAGGTGGGCCAGTGAGTTGATCTTAGAGAGCAACATCCCCGCCCCGTCCGCGTGTTCCAGGCAGGCCGGGGTTGGCAGCAGCGGCAATGTCTCGGAGGAGGAGGAGGCGACGGCGGCGGCGGCAGCGGCACAACTGCCGTCTCCTAGGCACGGGCGGGAGCTGCGGGCGGGGTCGTGCCGGGCCAGCCTGCTCCCTCCCGTGTGGCGCGGCGGCCCGGCTTCAGCCGCCTGTAGTAAAAGTGGGAGGGAGCAGAGCTGGGGTGGAGCCGGGGAGAGCCGGCGGGCAGGTCTCCAGTCCGGGAAGACTCCGCCCACTGGCGCTGCCTCGGCCAATCCCTGCTGCAGTTGGCAGCCCGCGCCGGGCCTCTTCGTCAGAATGGACTGCTGAGGAGGCTCGACGTGGCGGGAAGAAAACGGCGCCAAAGAAGGGGGGGGGGGGGGGGGGGGGGGGGGGGGAGAGGGGAAGAAAGGGAAGCTGAAGACCGGGGGGGGGGGGGTGGAAAGGGCTGAAATCCTTGGCGGGAAAAGGGAGAAGGCAGTGGGGAAATGGGTGTCCTTGGAGAATTGCTTTTTTTTTATGTAAGGAAAATACATTCACGATTGCCCGTCTTTTTCTCGCCATTGTATCATTGCCGGAACATGAGGGGTAACATTCAGTGGGTGCATATCCTCTTCATCTCTGCTGCCTTCCGTGCAGTCGTTTTTAGACAGGGAGCTCCCTGCCACACGTAGATACGTATGGCGGGGGAGCTCCCTGAAACGGCTGCAGATACACCCACGCCGACTCCTAATGACTCATGGCTTCTGATGGGGGGAATCCTGTTCAGAACTTCCAGGTGCAGCACTCTGCTTTCTTCCGAGTAAATGCCATTACGTGCAAGAAACTTAAGAAAACGATAAAGTGGCAATTCAATTGAACGCCAGTCCTTTCCACCTTAAGGGATAAAACCTGTCCAACAAGCTAGATTGCTATTAGTTTATCCATCAAAATTAATAGGCATCTTGTCAGCCATTCGCACAAGATTTCACTGGAGTCATCCTTTGTTAGGAAAGTAGCAGAGATTGATTTAAAGGGAAGTAGATTTAATAATGAAACATAAAACAACCAGAACAAAACCACAATAAAATCATACATGCTTATGTGACCAATTGGTTTCTAGTTGAATCAAGTCAGCAAAAGACTAAGCTTCCAGCACCAATTCTGTGAATTCTACAAAAAATGGTAGTTGGCTGACTAATCTTGTTTATGAAACGTCCTTAAGTAATTTTTCAGGTACACAAGATAGCCATCCAGTTCAGATGGTATAGTATTTTTTTCTTAAATATTTCAAAATCAGAACGGATTTTTTTAAAAAAATAGAATAAGTGTTATCAGTATCCAATTGGGAAATGGTTTTTGTTATGTGAAGCTACACAATATCCAAAATACGTTTATATTAATTTGCTGCTAGCTATAGGTTCCAAGGGAGAAGTAAAACTCTTTCCTTAGATAAGGAGAATGCACATTGTCAACAGAAGCTCCTGTAATAACAACTTAGTTTTTAATTTTGGAGAACTAGTATAACAACATTCCTAGCTATTTACAAAAACTACATTGTGATGACTATTTGAGCAAGTATAAATAAGCTCATAAAACCCTATATTCCACACAGTGTACTACATTAATTTTTATTAGAATTTATTTGTGTACCATACAATATTTTACAATTACAGCAATCTAAGAAAGTTCCTTTAGTAGACTGTTTTCATCAGCTGATACTGTTGCCAGTAAGTTAGGGTTTTTTGCAATTTTTATCTTGTTCTTGGAGGAGTATGGGCATTGTAGTACAAATATAAAAACTTGCAGATGTTGAAGGCAAGTTGTAAATTTAAGTTTGATACTGATTTTACTATGCAGTGGAGTTTGCACAGATATTATAAAAAGTTATTGTGCAAGATTTCATTTTCCAATGAAGTTGAAGAGGAACAGCTGTTTTAAAAACAAGCATCACTACTTACTTGGAAGCCAATTATTACAGTAATCTGAAAGTGAAACTCTATAAATACTAGTGAAACTGGCAGATTATTTTCATGTAAGAAATAAGGAGTACATCCCATGGTAAAGAAAAGAGAAAATGGGAGGGAAAGATACTGATTTTGGGATTGCACTTCCAACAGTATTTAAACATGTATCAACTGGGTATAAAATGTTCTGAAGACAGAATTCTACATTTTGCAAAAACTATACAAATGTGGAAGGTGATGTGTGAATACTAATATTATGGTTTCTTTGGTTCATTTGGTTTCATTTTCATAATCATTCTGTTTATTGTAAAATTTGTATCTTGAAAAAAGATCAAAGATAGTCCAATATTTATAAAAAGAATGTACCTGGCTGACTGAATACAAATAACTGTCTTGAGATGGAGATATTATTTTGTTCCTGAATAGGAATTTAGCTGGGGGTTTTTTCCCCCTTATCCCAGTGAGTGGTTATGCTCACTTAAATATTTCTCAATGTAAATCCACCATATAAAGAAGAAATGAAGCTTCTTGGATGACAAGCGAAATGTTTTCAAGGGAAAAAACCCCCAAGAAAATAGTTGCCTTTTGAAAAGCAGCTTTGGGACAATCATGACCTTGGATGGTTGAGAATCTCCATAGATTTCTAATCCTTAAATTCTGATTCCACTACCATTATGCTAATTCAGCTTTGCACAAAAGAGCTCAATATAGGTCCTTCCATTAGTGTTATCAAGCCTGGCCATTGTTGACAATGGATCTGATACAGAATTCCTGATTAGGAGTGACTGTGCCTAAGGGTCCAAAATGATTGTCCCTTTGGGCAAAAGAAAAATAACTGCCATTTCAATTCCAGCTGCTATTCCCAGTCTGTCTAGCGGTGGCAGGTCTTCTCAGTATTTCTTACGGATTTCAAATAATTTTTAGCATGCAATAGCTGTTGTGCTATGTTACCATGTTGGTGAGAGAGAACTACATCTTTACAGTCATTCAGCTCTATTATTTGAAGATAATTAGGAATTGGCAGGGTATTGTATCTAAAAATAGTCTTTTTAGATAAATATTTTAAAATTATGATATGGATATATAGTGGAATGGGAAACTAAGTATAAGCATGAAGCTTAATCTTCCTGTTTTGTACGAATTCAAATAATGCTATATTGGATCAGTCTTTAATGTAAGCTTATCTGCAAGCATGATAGTCTTTTCTGATAATAACAACAAATGTCTTTGTCATCAGCATTAGGAATGTCTGCCATGTTTGGCTGAAGTCGGCCTCATTGGAATTCTTCTGCTAATCTTGTCATGACTTCATTTCTTCCTGAAAATCTGATCATGGAAAATTTGTCAGATGAGCTTCTCTTGGTTGATTAAGTTTTACTCAGTAAAAGGAGGAATCCCTATGAGAATTCTTGACCAGAGTGTCTTTTACAGAAGTTGACTGATGAGATACTTTCCAGAATTCCAAAGATAAGATAAACAATTTACCAGCATAGATTTCTGATGAGTCATTCTATTAACATTTATAGAATTTCAGATGCTAACATCTAAATGGCTACACATGAAAGCCAGCATCCTTCTGTGTGTATGAGTAGGTGTGCAGTGTTATTTCTTTGTAAAAACACTGGGTGTTTGCACCATTCCACTCATATTTTGAAGACTGATTAAATAGATTGTGTTTTACTAGAAATTCCAGAAGGGTGTTAGGGAAGTTGTGTGTGTGTGTGTATATAAATAATGGTAGGAATATCTAAAAAGGGAGAAACTGATCCCCTGAACTGATTCCCAAAGTTCCAGGAGTTTTCATTTAACTCAAAATAGCCCCCATTTGGCATAGGATTCAAATCCAGTCAGCCCTACAATGGGAACATCAACACCCAGTTAATTACCACATATCGCTCCACTACCTAGTGTTCCAAGAACTAAATGGAAAGTGCAGCAGTAAAAACAAGCCTCTCTATTACTGAACTCACTGTCAAGACTTAGCAGGATGGAACACACCTCTCAGACCCTGGCCCCTAGTAGCCAAGCCACACCAACTTAGGCATGCCTAGCCAGTAGAGTAGGGCTAATGAAGCTTTTGCGAAACTTTTCTGGTGAAAAAATTTCAGGAAGTGCTGTGGGCAAGGCTCCAAGCTGTTTCTGAAGAAAGTGGGTGGTGACTTTTGACCCAGTTCATTAATTTAATTGTATTCTGCTGTAAGGAGATTTGTTTGAGTACTGGCTGACTGGATTAAATGTGTCCCGAAAACAGGCCCATGCACATGTATACAAACATACTGGGCAGAAACAAAAAGGATCTGACCACTTTTCCAGATCAACATAGAAACTGATACTGATTGTAGCACTACAACATCATTCACTATAATTATCCTATGAGGTATTTCAGAAAAAAATGGAAAACACTTAATAATACAGAGGTAATATTTTCCTAACCCTCAACAAAATATACAATGTGCACTCATGTAATATGTACTTAAAGAAAACATGCTAAATAAATTTATATGTAACTGAATGAAAAAGGGCAATAAAGGTCTAATATCTTTAGCTAAAATACAGTAGATTAATGATAGACTGAATGAATGAATGAAAGAATGAACCTTTTTACTATTTAATACAATAAATAGTGGTTTATGTTCTATATAAAATATAATCACAGGAATATGTGATCTTATATTCATTTGTTCAGTAAGCTGCAAACATTTCACACAGCATTTTATCTCTGCTGTTTGTAAATAATAATAAAAACAATAAAAAGCACGTGGCCAATTTGAACAGCACATCAAGGGGAATGTGCGTAAAGATAAAACCTGGAACATTAGAACTTGGATCATTAAAAGAGATTTTGGCTGCTTAGGAGCAATCTGTTCAAACTAACCCAATTAAGGCCAGAATGGAAAAATGATCAGATAATTCAAAATGCTGATTCTGCAAAGAAGCAGAATAAACAATAGATCATATATTCATCTCATGCAAGAAGATGGCACAAACTGATTGTAAACAAAAATAATCATCAAATTGATTCACTGGACATCTATAAAATTATGTGCTAGTAAAGTAAAATTGGTGGAGAATTGAATAAATAGTTGAAAATAAGCAGGTTAAAATTTTGTGGAATTTCCGTATACAGACTGATAAAAAAGTCTTGCCTCATAACACATCAAATATAACTGATTGGAAAGAG